ACTGCTGAGGGCCCACCCTATAGAAGCAGCACTTCTAGAGAGTGCTGGAAGGCTTTTCACAAGGGCCCCAAAGCCTGACTCAGGGGACTTTTCAAATAAACACTTCATACAAAACCGTTAGTACGAAGTGAATATAGAATGTATTGACTGTAGCTTTCTACAGCGGCTGCCTGGTATCTTTTCGCCCACGTGATCCACCTCATTTTCTTTGGGTAGTTATCTCTTCCTCCACTGGTTGGAAACCCAGGCCTCAGCACAGAAACCAGAGTGCTTGGAGGCTCCCGCCAACAGCCTTGAGGTGCAGCAGGCCAGGCCAGGGGCCCAGGCCCACAGAACTAGCTGTGCTCACCTGCAAAATGTTATCTCGAGACATGGCTTACAGACAGCGGGAATGCCTCCTATCTCCGAGCACCACAAACAGGCTACTGCTACGATGCAGGTTTCCTAAACACAGAAAACCTTTTGCATCGTCTGATGTTTATCACATTGTATGTTTTTTAATCTCTGGAGTATTACATGGAAAACACTCATATCTTTTTTTAACAAGCAAGAAGCAACCCTGAATGCCAGGTACTTTGATCCCAGAAGACCAAAACTGAACAGCCCCCTGAAAAACTGGTACCTGAGTCAAGGCTGTTATATAGACAGGCCAGGAACACAGGTTAGAGCCTTTTCTCTCTGTTCTTCTAGCTATTACACTGCATTTCCCCCTTTTACAGTAAGACAAGTTAGCAGAGAAGTACATAAGCAACCGTTTATGATAAAGCAATTACAGCTGGCAAGTAAGTGGCAGAAAACGTTTTGATGCAAAGCTGCGGTTATTTTATATTCTTGCTGCCAGTCCAGCTTGGCTTCCTAAAGTCAACACAAAGCCCCGGATACATGGCCTAGGCTGAAAGTAGAATTGCATTGTCTATTCACAGATGAAGATCCATCACCTTCTGCTGGAAGATGTGACGACCGTCTGCAGAACCCAGGATAATCCTCCCTAATACTGTGTGCCACATACACTGTCATGTGTAAAACCTGGCCAGTGGCCCTAAGAACATTAGCCAAGAGGTCAGGACTCTCAAACTAAAAACATGGCAACCAGATAGCACCTTCGAGTTTATAAAGCATTTCTCAATCCACAATTGGTTTTGGGTTATCCAGCTTCTCTAGTCCTGTTCTGATCTATAAAAGGCTGAAACAGCAAAGCTAATTACAACTCATCAACGAACTATTCCATGAAACCTCAGGGCCATCCTTAACCCATCTGGTAGCAATGGAGAAACCTTCAATGAGCTCAGGAGGGTGACTTTGGATCACAAGATCCCCACCTGAAATCCCAGCCGACTGTAACGCGGACTTTGAGCAAGTTCCATAAATATCCCGATCCTGTTTCTTCTGAGATAGGCGGATGAGCTCACAGTGGTGCAACAGCCATGAGCAATGTACCAATGACCAAACTGACTTCAATCTTTTTTTTTTTTTTTTTTTTTTGGCCGTGCGGGTTTGCAACACAGGGCCTCATGCATACTGGGTAAACATTCTATCACTGAGCTACATCCCTTTGTCCCTCAGTCCAAGTTCATTCATCCTCTTGGCTAACTACTGAGAAACCTCAACAAACCCTATAGTGCAAGGAATATAAATATTATCAGATACACATGCAGTCCTTTTAAACTTTATTGGAAAGGTTTTAGTGCCCGCTCAGTGTGACAGCATCTAGTAACAGGCTTTTCAAAGTGAATGTTGAGTTTGTAACTGTGGGGTCCTAAGGTTGTGCCATGTGAGGGTGTGGAGAGAAGGTGGCATCTACTAGACAGAGCTCCTTCACCAGACCCAACTGTGCTGGCATCCTCATCTTAAATTTTCAACCTTCCTAAATGTGAGAAAGTCACTTTTGTTGTTTCTGCCACCCAGCCTATGAGTTGGGGTTGTTCTTGTTTTTAAGGCAGCTGAGTTAGACTAACATAAGTCCTTAAGTGGAAAATTCCAGACAACGGCTACACCCTAATTGAACTCAGAGCCTGGGATATCACTGAAACATTCTTAGTTGTATCTTTACCAATTCTCACCTGTCACTAGCAGTTAAGTAAAATAAAAAACAAAACCAGAAAACATTATAGCCGACTATCCCTCTGACAAAGGCCTTCTATCTAGAACACATACAGAATTAAAAAAAAAAAAATCCCCTCCCCCCAAATTCAAAGACCCAATCCAAAAATGGGCAACTGAGATGAATATGCACCTCAGAAGAAGAAATACAAATGGCAAGTAAATATATGAATGGAAATGTTCAACATCATTGCTCATTTGAGAAATGCAAATTAAATCAACACTTGAGATTTCATCTCACCCTGAAAAGAATGACAAACATCAAGATGTCAGTCAGGGGCCAGGGAGATGGCTCAGTAGGATAAGCGCTTGACTGGCAAACACAAGGATCTGGGTTCAATCCCTGGTTCCCCCCCCAAAAAAAAAAAAAAAAAGATGTCAGTCAGTAACAAATGCTGGAGAGGCTGTGGAGAAAAAGGAACCCTTCTGTGGCGCTGGTGAGAGTGCACAGTGGCACAACCATTATGGAAATCAGTGTGGAGATTACTTCAAAAGCTAGGATTGGAGATCCCATTCAAGCCCACTACTCCCTTTCTGGGTATTTTTCCACAACTGAAAACCTCATACCACTGTGATATATGTGCACCCATGTTTATAGCAGCGCAATCTATCAGAACTAAATCCTGAAGAAAACACAAGTACCCATCAACTGAAGAATAGGTAAAGAATATTTGGTATTTTTACACATGAAGTCTTATTCAGCTATAAAACAGGATAAATTTGAGTCTTTTGTTGGCAAATGCATGCAACTACAGAACACACTCTTAAGTAAATCAGACCAGCATGTACAAACATCGTATTGTCTCCTTAGTGTGAGAACCTGAAAGAGAAAAATGGAATCTGAAGGGCAGACACTGGGAAAAGGGAATGAACTTACTCAAAGGGAAAGTTAATGAGTTGAGAAGCACAGGAAAGGGAGTGGGGTAAAGAGATTTATCTATGTATGTAAACAGGATGGTTTGGACATCTGTACTGTGCATTTCTGCTGGGCTATGGAAAGAAGCAGTTAATGCTTTGTCTTTTTCGTTGTACTTCTCTTAATATACATTTTTCCAATTTTGCATGCATAGATCTGGTATTATGAATAAGTGGTTGGAAGACAACACTACTACAAATACTGTGATATTCATGTTACTTTAAGTGAAATTCTGTATTGTACTTTTTTAATTCTTGTATTTTTTAAATTCTAATTTGAACTCTCTTTAAAAAAAAATTAAACAGAAACAGGAGAGGCACTCATGCTTGTGGGTTACCAGTCGCACGACCCACTGCCCCCACTGAAGTCCTTCCCAAGCATAGCAGCTGCACCTCCACAAGCCATCAGCTTCTAGGATCTTCTCGGCTCTTAGTCCTGCTCTCTGGGAACAATCCCAGGAGTCAAAAGCAGTGATTATACTGATCACCTAACAGTCTCACAGCCAGTTTTCTCCAAAAAATTTCATTATGTCACCTGGTACCTGAACATCATACTAAGAACTTGCTCCTGAAAGTTTCGGAGCAGAAGAAACCAGAATCACAGGGTTTGCACTGTGTGATAGGGAAGAACAAAGAAGTCAGCAGCCTTCCAGGGATAAGTTCTAAGGAAAAGCAAAGCTGCCAGGGCTCCAGAGGCCACTGGAGGAATGACTGGGCCACATTCTTCTTTCTGGTTGGCTGGGGGAGCTGGATTAATGGTTTAGGACTAAAGTAAACACAAGCAGCCACGCTCTACCCAGCACTGGTAGACGTGGTCATAATGGAGCAAGAGTGACCTGTAGGTTCATCTGTACTAACATGCAGCCTGTGGAGGTGGTAAACAGCAGGGACTACATTCAGTGCCAGGAAAAACTTGATACCTCTCTACCTCACTTACCTAACACACTATGGCACTCACATTTTAAACTGTCATCTCCACAAAACACTCTCCAAATTGCAAGTGACACTATGCTTTTTGCCACTGAAGTGTTTTTCCATAATAATTATTGGCCTACACTTCATATAAATCATCATGGTTTCTACGTATATGACAATGACATTAAATTCCTTATTGGACTGAATATTTACATGCCGGGGCAGACAATCTTATGTTTCATCCAAGACACATGAGTGTGATGTCTGGCTATACAGGCCTGTCCTGGGCTAGGAGCTTGGTGCTCTGTATGGCCTGAGTCTTTATGCTCTAACCCTAGCGTAAGCTGAGTCAGAATCAAATGCTTTATATACAACACTTCCCCTGCTTTCCTCAGCTCTTTTCTAGAACTAAACATTTTTAGGGGTCTCATTTGAGTGTATTATTTCTTTGGTGGGGAGAAGCTTCCTTCTGGCATCACTCATTTATTAGATTTAGAAAGTGATTGTGTACTATTAGATTAAGGAGCACAGGCTCATTTGAAATTACAAATATCAACCTCAAGCTTCAGAGGCCTCACAATTCAAATTTCAACTACACTCTTCCTCAACAGTATTTTTATAGGAAGATGCTTTTTAACAAAATCTTAATTTTACTTACTTTCACTCTATGGGAGGGCAGGTAAGAACTAAACTTTCTATGCTTTAAAAATTACATACTTTCTTCCTTACTTTTCTACCTTGATATTAAACAAAAAAGCCTGCCCCAAATACTTGGGAGCTCTTGACACACAGCCAAAAAGGCAAAAACCACCATGCATTCTTTGGAAGGGTGGCCCAAATGACAGCTCTGTGTTGGAAAAGCAAGTGATGACCACATCATACTTCCCAATTTTGTTAAAATCAGCTTTAAAACCCTGCCTGGGAAATGCCTTTTGAGTAACAAAGCCTACTTCACCATAAAAATTGCCTGTGCTTAAAATACTAGTTAAAACATTGAAAAGGAAGTTAACTTAGTACAATTATCACTTGGATGTGATGTAGCGGGCAAGGTAAATACACAAACTGTGGTACAGAATTTAATTTTATCTTTATGAAGTTCTCTGAAATCAAAGACATGCATCAGGCACATTCAACAGAACACTTTTACAATGGTTTTACATTTCTTTTTATTTATTCCTTGAAACTGCCCGTATTGCAGGTTTTCATGGGTGAAATATGGAACTGAGCAGATTCTTTTTTTCTTTTTTCTACAAAATTATGGTATAAACTTGCTCGATTTTCTATCTTATTGCTAATAAACCTTACAGGCGCACAGTTTGTAAAATAAACCCCTTAAGGACTGAATGTGTAGAGCATGCTGCAAGGTACAAGAAATAACTAAACATGAGAATATAAAACTACATCTGGACCAACACAGTACTGAATGCTGGCAAACATTTATCACGACACAGGAAAAAATTAATGAAAGGCGATACAGTTCAGTCCTGAAAGGGTTAAATAGAGACCCTAATATATTATTGTTTCTAACCATCCATCCCACAGTACAGTGCTTGAAAACAAGGTCAAAAGTCTGGCACAGAAAATTAAACACATTTGTTCAGTACTCATCAGAAACACAGCTGCTTTTGAAATCAAAGTAAGTTAACTTGGTTAATAACTGAACAGGAGTTTGTTTGAAAAGGGAACCCCTCCCCTCAGATTTTCTGGTTAACTCGACTAGTTAGGCTAGTTCTCTGGGATGGCACTGGAATTTTCTATGAGCTCACAGATGGTAGCAGTTCCATTAAAAACAAAGGCAAACAAACGTACGTTATGATGACAAGTGGGTCTGTGCAGTAAGAGATGACTAATATTTCACTAGTTAAATCCGGATGGGATGCCTTTAGTTGCCGGTTTACAAAAGTCAGCAGCAAGCTGAATACTGTACTAGTGCTCAACTTTGATCTCATTCAAACTACAAAGGGCATTCTACTTTAGCATCTGCAGCTTGCCTTCCCAATCCACGTGACAAATGCAGTGAGACTAGTAAAAACATGGTGGGGTCACATGCTCAGCTTTTCTATTTTGAGAAACTGCATAGAATTGTAAGAGAATAAGAAATTCTTCTGAAACGGAATTTTTTAAAAAATCAAGGATACTGTAAATAATAATTCTCTACTGCAGAGAATCACTGTAAGGGTGAATGACTGACCCCTCTCATACTGCCACCATGGGGGAGGGACATACCCTACTGTAAGGGGAGGACAAGGCGCTCAGAAGTTATACACTGAAGCATAAAATGACTCACAAATCCGTGAAGTTTTTTCAAAGCAGTTGACAAAACTACTACTGACGAACAGTGAGCTATAACAGGAATCATTTCACTCTTTCAGTCTGTGGTATGAGAATGGCATAAAATAGATGGAGAAAATGCCTATATTGGTACATTCCTGGATTTCCAAAAACAAAAACAAAAAACAGGAAAAAGGTTTACAGTCTAATATTTCAATCTTATTAGAAAAAAAAGAACCAAAATAAGATATAAATGTTTATAAGAACCAAAGTTCATTTTAATAAAGCCATGAACCTGAAAATTTATTTTGACCCAAAAACTGAGTAAGGAATAGTCTGTACTTCAAAAAGCATCTCATTTGTTAAAAGTTAATTTAATATGACTTAACTAAATACCAAGTCAAGAAATGTAGGAAACTTGTGGCCCATTTAAAAAAAAAAATCAAGCAGCACTGAGAACATCTTCACACTAAACCAAAAGCACTGTGTAATAACTACTTCTGTGACTCAACAGAGAGAATAAATACTACTCAAATAAGCAAGTCTGCCAGTAGCAGCCAGTGAGCGGTTCCAACAAAGAAAGATAAGGCCACAAAGCATTCTGCCCTGATCACTGAAACAGGTGTACGGTGTGAGGCAGGATTTGATTCCCCAGAGTCCCTGGAGCAGATCTGAAGAGAAAAGGCTATTTATAGTACAATGCATCCTGGGGTGATTAAAAAGGCTCGCAGCAGGAGAAAACTGCGGTAACTTTGATTTAACCACCTCACGTTTTACAAATGACTTTCCCCTTGAAAGCTGAGGAAAAGGCAATTTAAAGGTGAGAGGAAAAGTATTTACAGTGGCATAGTTTAAATGAAGGAGTGATGAAGACAGCAAAGCTGGAAAAAAAAAATGTCCCGAAAAATGATCTTCAAAGTCTGTTAAAGGAAACTTAAAACAGCCCAGGACATTAATAGAACACCGGGAACACTGGAGAAGCTACAGTTTTGCAGCCATAAGGTACTTGTGGCTCCTGTTATTATGGGACAGTAAAAGCTTACCACGATCTAGAGGTAGTTTTTACTCTAAGAAGGATGATTGTATCACTAGACTGTGTCCTGCACGGTTACACACGGTTACTGCACTAATGTTGCTCAATGAGTTTGCTGCAATTTCTAAGAAACTGAACAAAAGTGTAATGATCAAAGTGTGGGAACGGAAGCAAAAGTGGCAAGATCAACACGCAAGGCCAGTACAACCCCGAGTGCAGCCACTTCGTAAATGAAAGGGCAAGGCTCACTTCCCAAGGAGGGGCGTTTGTGGACACACTGCGTGCTTGGGAAGAGAAAACAAAAAAGGCGGAAGAAAACTGGAAATATAAGTTACACTTGCATCTTTATAAACTTCCAGCCATCTGTTCCTACGGTACTGTCTTCCAGCTATTCTAGTTGACCATCTACTAAAAGTATCTTATGTTTTAAGATTACAGAGATGGTCTACCCAAGGCAAAAAAAAATAAAGACAAAGAAGTAACAATAATATGACATATTTTGCTGAGATCTTCCTTATTCTACCAGAAGGACATCATCTACCATTTGGTAGCAAATACTTCTCATGATTTTTTAAAATCATTTTTCAACAATGCAAAAAAACACCTTGTTGAATAAAATTGCTGGGAGAATTCCAAGTTAAAAAAAAAAGTTTAACTTACACATAATACAAGTTATGTACACCATTATGAGGAAGGGAAAACTGAATAAATCCTGGAACACACAGATGGATTACATATGGGAAGGGGAGAGGACACTTCAATATCAACATATTCTGTGCCATTAACTCATTAATGATGACTACATGGCCACCACGAATTGCATGTGAATGCCAGAGCTTCCTGGATTACCACTATAAATACATTTTTTTAAAAAAAGGAAAACACAAATAACTGCCGACAGTGACTAAAGAAGGAGACTAAGTTAACATACAATTGCATGTATTGCAGGCAAGGCAGAGGCATTGTCTTTAAAGCTTTTGCACAGACTTCATATAATCTTAAAAAACATATGCAGGCCTTTACAAGATTTGACTTGCTGAAATCAGAATAATTTTAACTCATGAAAAGTCATAAGACTTCAGCTTTAAAAAAAGTTCCAGCCTTAGACCAAAAGAACCTGGTTGGGTATGGTAATTTATTCAACAAGCATGGTCAAGCTTGGAACCTGAATTACTTCAGAGCAAAAGCTCAAAGAGGGCGGGGAGAAGAACCTATTTGGTAATAAGATGTACTATATACTGTGATATAAAAAAGGTATGGTGAAAATGTACCTTTTACTAATAAAGCTTATACAAGTTCCTTGGTCCATAAAAACTATGTTAGATTTGTGTCTTCTAGTTTGCTTAACTTTATACCAGCCACATATCTATTTCTTGCCCATTTAAACAAAACCAAACAAAAACCAACCAAACAACAACAAAACAGCTGAAAAACTCAATCTCCAACAGTTTGTACACTTTGACACTTTTGTTTGTTTTGCTGTGGCTTCTGCATCTCCAATCAGCACTTGCATGTAACGGGGCTTCCGAATAGAATCACTTGGTATGAAAAGTTTTCCCAAGAAACCACAAAAGATCATTCATTTTTTTCTTTCCTTTTTTGACAACTTTTTGCTGCACTAAGGTCAGTTTTAAGTTTTAGCAAAAAGACGGTGGTTAGGATACCACAGTTGCTGTAGATGATGTGACGCTGCTTGAATTTGTGCTGGCGTTTGTGTAACTTCCCTCACTGTTTGTGTTTGATTCATTGGAGGGCACTTGGCTTGAATTGGCTCGAAGGATTGCTCCAGCTGCACTGCAGTGTGGCCTTGGCCCTGGTTCTGGTGTGTAGGTAAAGGTAAGGCTGGTGGAATAAATGATTCCATCATTTCGGACCAAAGTTACTGGAACCTGGACTGGCTGCCGGACCCATCTCCAACCTTCTCGGAATGCAGAAATGTCTGGGACAACACAGAGCATGCTCTCTCCACACCTGAGGGGAAACATAACGCACTTTAAAATGTGAAATACACTCCAGAAATGAGACATTGTTTAATGCACTACAGTGTAGATCAGGAGACAATCTCATATACCCATAAAGCCTTCACAAGCCTTGGATGACGTAAAAAGTTTTATACAATACCTGTACATAGTTTCAGCTTCTACATCCCCAAACCATACTCGTAAATTTGGAGTGAAATTCTGTCCTGTAAGTTCAAGCATTGCTACATCCCCGCCGCCATTCAACTGCAATTAACAGAAAATCACACTGAGACACTTTTTGTGGAAGTACAAAAATTAGGTTCTCCTTCAGCTTTTATTGTGACAGTTGGTAAAAGTTTGCATTTATAAACATTTCTTTCAAACAGCATGATTACAAAGCTAGCTAAAAATATTTCAGACAACATACAAGTTGAATTAATTTTCTCACATGTAAGAAAAACTGCTTATTCTCATTTCTGTCAACGCATAATGTTTAACAAAATCCCCAGATCACTACGTTTGAAGAAAAACATCAAAATTATTGTAAAATGAAATTATGCAGTCTTGGCTAAGTATATTTTCAAAAGCAAAAAGCCACCTTGTGACTATTTGTGGTCTCACCTGAAGACTTTCTACGACAGGCACAGGGGTGACTGGGGCCAGGACAGGGCCCATTCCTTCATAAAATGTGTATTCTGCCTTATCTGTGCTAATGATTGTCCACGAAGCTCCGTCATTTATCATCTCTTTATTTGGTTCTTTTGGGCATGGAGTGGCCTTATGAAGAAAAAATGTTTAGGAATTGAGTTTTATACATATTCCAGCAGAAGAGAACTTACCAAATAGCATCACAGAGTTGACAAGAAAACTTCTGTAAAAAACTTGCAATCCTCCTAAAGTATGCTACTTTGCCACTCCCTACATACATGTGAGAAGAATATCAAAATCTCACAGATGGCAATTTTTTGTTATACAATATTTCAGTGGTAGTCTAAATAATAATATCATACCATTACTGATAAAATTTCATTAATATAAGATCAGTATCTGAAATTTAGAATGGATGTCTAAAATTCTTCAGGGCTTCCTAAGAAAGACCCCAGGAGCCCTGAATATTTAGAGAATAGCTACATGCTAATCCACTTTGAGCAGAAGGGAATGACCACCTGAACCTGCAAGCTCCTGCTCCTGTTGTAATAAATCTGCACTGGGGACCCAGCTCACCTGTATCCATGTGAGACCATCTCTCACAGAGGAGTCTTCTATGAAAATGGAACTATTCTATCAAATCGTATGACCATGTCATGAATTTGAAAGCCTTCCAAATAAACATAGTTAAAGGTTAGCTTCTGTGGGCCAGGAATACAGCTCAGTGGTGTGAGCACTGGCAAACAAAGGTCCCGAGTTCAATTCCTGGTACAAAAAAAAGCGCTTCTGATATCATATTATTATCTCAATGAACCCAACTTGGGGAGTATATAAACTCTCAGTAAAATGTTTTTCAATACAGCATATGCATATACACTCAGAAGATTCAACGAACATCTACTTTTAAGATATTCTGGGGGAGCCTCTGTTCTTCACGTTAGAAATTTTGGCAGTGAATGTTCACTGTTTTTCTAAGAACATTCTCATAGTTCTGAGTTCTTCCCTGAGGTAGGATCACCAACATGTCCAAGGACTGCATGTTAAGGAGCCTTGGACTTGACATTAATGCCAGAATACAACCTCATATATTTGAATACAATTAACTGTCAATGACAATTCCATGATTTTATAAGCCAGTCTGCAGTGTTCACCCACTCACTCATGATGCTAGAGAATGACCCCAAGACCTTGTGTCACAAAACTACACACCTAGCCCTAGTTTGTGTAGTTTTTACCAGCAATTATAAAACCTACCTGAAACTGGATTATTCTTTCTTGAGAAAGGCACAAGTACATTCTTTCTGTATCCTTAAGGTAAAATGCACATTTATGTAGTTGTGACACTGGATCATCTGCATCCAATAATGCTGTCTGTTTATCAACTTTCCTAATTATCTGTATATCAAGAATTCAAAAATTAAAACAAAATGGTCATGCATGTAAGTTTTCATTTTGTATACTGTCAAACAATACAGAAAGTATATGCTGTACAATATACCAGTTATTTGTTTTATACCTAACTAGGGACAATATTTACAAAATAAAAACTTAGTTTGTAAGTATGTCAGAATGATACAGTTGTCACCCTCTTCCATTTCTATAAACCAGCACTTTCAAACATTAGTGCACATATTAATCACCTGAAGTTCTTATTAAAAATACACATGCAGACAGGACAGGTTTGGTAAGCCTAAGGTTCTACTTTTATAACACAGCCTCAGGTAATGTTAATGCTGCTGTCCTAAGGACTATATTTTGAACAGCAAATTCTGATAATACATAAATATTCCAATATCAGAGAAAAAAATATCTCTTGAAGGTTGAGGTTGCACTAGTTACAGCACATATCTTACACACATTATTTAACTACCTATTTAAAAATAAAAATAAACTAGTTTTGCAGATCAAGAAATGGGCTCTAGGGGGCCGGGGAGATGGTTCAGTACAATAATCACTTGCCTGGCAAGCGCAAGGGCCTGCGTTCAATCCCCGGTTCTACCAAAAAAAAAAAAGAAAAAAGGAAGAAAAGAAATGGTCTGTGGGCCAGGTATATAGCTCAGCAGCACAAGTGCTTGCGTGGCAAGTGCAAGGTCCTGAGCTTGATCCTCAGTACCAAAAAGAAAATAAATAAATAAATAAATAAATAAATAGGCTCGGAGAGACAAAGTAAAGTGCTCATAATCCCCAGCAAAAGCCAAAATTCAAGTCCAGCACTGGCTGCCTGCCCAGCCTGACCTCTTTCCACTACACTCCAGAATCTCATATGCCAAAAAATCCACAGAACACATGAATATCTGAAAGACAGTATTAGCAAACCTAAAATGACAGCATCTTCAATGACAGTATATGAAGTAATTACTAAACATTTGATAATGAGAAGGACCAGATTTGACATAGCAAAACCACTTTGATTCCCACCAAGGACTTCCATACATGTGGAAAACTACGAAGCTGTTATGGCACACGCATCTGAGCCTGTGCTTCTGTAGAACAAGAAAATAAACAAATGTCCTCAGAATGTGGCGGCACACAGTGAGCTGGAAGAGAAGTGTGTGAATGTTGATTTATGTGTACTTTTAACTTTTTACAGCTATCCTTCCCTGAAACTTTGCGTTTTTCATAGTATGTTCCAGCTTCATAATTTTACAGGTTATTTCTACTATACTTGAAATATTTTAGATTAAATTAAAATGGGATGTAATTCTTGTGCAAACATGACATAGAAAAATAAAACCAAAAAAACCTTTTTTTCATATTTAGTTAAGCCAGCTGTAAACCAGCCCTGCCTCTGCTGAAATAGGTCCTGAAAGTGATGCAACACAGTATTTCACCAAAGAGAGAAATACAAAGCTTACTAAGTAAGCAACAGTGCGACTACATGTTCTTCCACTTACCCTTCACCTGACCCTGACTCAGACATCCAACTCAGTTACACTGTTTCAGAAAAGGGGAGACAGCTGGAAGAATGTTTGTTTGCATTTTACTAAGAAAAACATTTTTACAGGCTCAAAATCTAGTGAACCAAAAGTCCTAAATCCAGGCCAGGAGTGTTAGTACACATCTGTAATCCCAGCACTCAGAAGGCTGAGGCAGTAAGGATCATTTTGAGTTCAAGCCCAGCGTGGGCTACAAAGTGAGCTCAAGGCCAGCCTGAACTGCATTCATTTTGAGATTGTCTCAAAAAGAAAAAAAAGTTCTAATCCCTACGCCCTTCTCCAAAAATTAAAAAAAAAAAAACCAAAATACAATTCAGTTGACTGACTGGTTTTTTGAGACTTACTATGAAGTCTAGGCTAGCTTTGAACTCACTATATAACCCAGGATGGCCTCTAATTTGTGGCAATTCTCCTGCTTCAGCCTTCTGATATCTGTGACTACAGGAGTAAGCCACAACACCTAGATTAGTTTTAATAAATATACATTTTTGTGCATGAACTGGTTAAAAAAAACTATGCTTATATTTCAAAAGGAACATTAATTTTTATGTTTTTGAAAACTTGGTCCTATTATGGTGTACAATAAGTAGCACAAAAAAAAAAAAATGTATCTTCAGTAGAAAGGAAACCAAAGCCATACTGTAATTTATAGTGCCCCCTGTTGAACACGTTCACAACCAAAGGGAAGTTGTCAGCGAAGTGTGTTAAACTGCATAAGGCATCACCATGAATGCATTTGCAAAATCCAGCTGTCTTAAGGCACTACTGAAATTAATTATTAGTTAACTACAATTATTAGTTGTAGGAGAGATTGTGGGTATTATGTTTTTAAATTAAAAAGCATTAAACGGAGGTACATGTATGGCTAAATGTTAACTATTTTTGTTTTAAGAGCTGTTACCTCACATATCACTTAAACAGAGGCAGCACTTACCAGTCTCGGGAGTGCCATGCCAGTAACTGAACACACAAGTTTGACTGTTTGTCCATAATGGATGTAACCATCTCGGACTGTGAATTCTTCTCCTTCTGATTCATCATCATCCACTATATTGGATAGAAAAAGATACCAAACTATCATCTTTTAAAAATTTATTACCTGCCTAAGAAAATGATAAGACTTAACATATCTATGTATCACATCATGAAAAATAATTTTGAGAATTTAACAATGCACATTTTTATACTCACAGAGATGAATGTAAAATGCTCCCCACTGCTGTGAACTGGCATGGAAATTACCTCCTTCTACATGCAAGTATCTGGTACTAACTGTCTGGGATCGAAGTCGATTAAACAAAGCCACCTTTGTTCCTGAGGCAATGCACACTGTAAAGAAAAAAACAGCGTTCTGCTTAGCAAGTTATGACTGTTCCTTATAATCTAACAACAGATTATAGTGATAGTTTAACCTGAGAAGGTTAAAACAAAAAATTAAAGTAACTCATAATGTGTCAAGCTAATGATATGTAATATGAACCTGAATTCATTGACAAAAAAGTATCTCCCAGAAGTATCACTAAATGGAAAAGCAAACTAGAAAACACTGTCCTCTGTGGTCCCACTACAGAGATTTGCAGAACACGTGTAGAAAGGGGTCCAGAAGGGTGTTTCAGTTCACAGCAACTTCCTCTGCCTGTTGTGATTTTAAAAGAGTACTGCTATCTTCTAAATATAATGGTGCCTTGGTTCACAAACTTATGGCTCTGTTTGCAAGTGGAATCAAATTTCCCCAGAAACTCAACATTATACCACCCATTGAATTTGATATGGTTCTTGTCTACTTTGGTTTGTGACCAGACCGAGGAAAGAATTATGTATGTGAACTGAGGTACCACTGTGCCTCCATGTGTTGTACTACAAGAACTTACAAAATAAACAAGGAAATATTTACTTTAGAAGTGAAAACTACTTCTATATAAATTAGAAAAAACATCCTGAAAGTGAAATTTGTTCTCTATTACTGATACTAATACTCAATATAAAGCTAAAAAGGTGAAATAAAGCTCTGTACTATAATTTAAGTTGAAAACAGCTTGAATACAAGATATCACAAGCCTCCTGGTCTGTGAGACACTCTAGCCATGACTTTTCTTGTCCTTTACCACCAAAGTAACAGACTTCAATCTGATCAAGATTCCAGATGAACCCCTGACAAAGATTCTCTCACAAAAAAACAAGTTGCTCCAAGTATTTTCTTCCACTAGGCCTCCTCTCCAGGCCCTGCTGCTAGTTTGCACAGCCAGCACTGCTGTGACATAGCCTAAGGCGTGCCCAATGCCTGACACATGACCACCCTGTCCTGCTTTGTAGCAAGACTTACTAATGTAGGTTAGTAAGAATCCCCCTACCCCAACTGAGTCCTCTTAGTAATTTTTTAATCAGTTGATACCCTGATTCGGCTCTATAGTTAAACATCTCTCTCTACTGTACTTGAAAACTGAACGTGGTTCTACATTTGAGTCTCTTTATCACTACTGTAAGAATACTGAATGAAATCTTTCTACCCTTTAGTGTCTAGCTACAATTTTGATAGTACTATCAATATGTTTATAGTAAATGTATTAAACTATTAAAGAAGACAATAAGAAAGGCCAACAAAATATTAGTGATGAATGAATTTTATATTGAAAAAGCAATTTTTCAACCTCGAAAAGTCTGTCTTACTAATTCATGGTGTGAGTTTAGAACAAATAAAAAAACTCAAGCATACATACAGTCAGCATTTTTCAGTGACTGCTTCTTTTTGGAGGGTTTGGAGATGACTTTAATCCGCTTGCTAAGGAACACACCAATGTCATCACTGTTGCCATAGAACATTTTTACAGACAACATGAAATGTTTTCTCTTGTCAGAATCAGAGATGTACAATGTCTTGGCTGTGCAATAGTTCTGTGAAAAAGAAATTTTTAATAGCATCAAAATATTGTCAATTATGTACCTAAATCCCAGAATGGCCTTAACTAGGTTTGATTGATTTTAATAAAATAATTCCAATCGATAGCTCATAAAACCACATGTAAAAATTACTGAAGTTCATCTCTGCAGAGAAAATTAAAAATCTCCCTCATCCTGTCTACATGAAACCAGGATAGTGGGAAGGACAAGCCTGTGCCACAGCAAGGCTCCCCCTACCACAGCACTCGGTGAGGAAGAGGCTGCAGATCCAGGGCCCAGCAGGTGCAGGCAGAGCTGAGGCCGCCCTTCAGAGCTGCAGATGTGCTGGGCCCTCAGGGAGCAGATGCCACTGTGGGGAGAAGCTACCACTGTCTTTGTTCCATTACTCAACTGAAAACCTTCTAAAAAATTCCAGTCCAGCTAGTACGTGAAGTGGAAAGAAACACATGGTCCTTAATGCTCAGAAGAGTCTGCCAAAGGCAACCTGAAAAAGAGACCTGGAGGACAAGCAGCGTGCCACAGCCACACTCTGATGTGATCTGAGAACTTGTTCTTCTTGTAGCCAACTTGGTCACATGGCTATGGATGGCAGCTGTCTTATGAAGACTCATTTGGACGAAGTACAGTAGAACAATGCAAGGCATAAGTTGTTTCTTTCAGGTGTCAGGAGCTCATAGGAAAGCATGCTGACTTTGAAAGCTTAAGTTTCAGTTGTAAACGAGATGACTAAAATATCAATCACAGTTTAAACAAGCAAACAAAAGACTATCTGAACCATTTTACTATCTTAAAAGACCACTTTAAAAGTGTTGTTTTGCTGGGAATGTTGGTACACTCAGGAGGCTGAGAGGCAGGAGGATTGCCTTGAGTTTGAGGCCAACCTGGGCTACCTAGTGAGCTGAAGGTCAGCCTGAAATATATAGTGAGACACTGTCTAAATCAATCAATCAATCAGTCCATCAATCAATCAATCATGAATCAAACCAAACCAAACTAAACCAAACCACTCACTCCCCTCCCTAGCACTATTGGAGGCTGAAGAAAAAGGATGGTGTGGTCAGGTCCCAGTCAAGGAAACCTAACAAAATTCTGTTTCAAAATAAAATAAATCTGGGGAATGTAGCTCAGTGCCACAAGAACCTGCGTGGCAAGCACAAGGTCCCGAGTTCAATTTCTAGTACCAAAATAAAAATAAAATGCTTACTTTGGCATCACATATACTTTTATTTATTTATTTTGGTACAGGGTCTCACTACGTAGCCCAGACTCATAGTGATCCTCCTGTCTCAGCCTCCCCAGCGCTGGGATTATAGGCACACAGAATCAGGCCTGGTTTCGGTGGCCGGCATGGTATGCAGTACCAGGGATTGAACCTGGGTCCTTGTGCTTGCCAGGCAGGTAGGTGCTTAGTCCATCAAACTATCTCTCCAGCCCTGGTATCACGTGTACTTAAATAAAAAATAAGAAAGGGCTGGGGATGTAGCTCAATACAAAGGCACTACACATTCAATCTCCAGTACCACCCTCCCCAACACAAAGCCATCTAAAATATAGATATATATATATATAGCTCTACTAATTCTGCATCTGTTTCCCAGAATTATCAAGGTTGTAGCACTACTTTTCAAAACAGAGTTTTTGTAGTCAAAAAATAATTGAACACTCTTTCTCCAAAGATATAAATAAAACCATCAGAAAGCAATAGAATTAAATAAAAAGTTTCAGTAGTATTCCTCCTCAAAATAGCACACACAATGTTTATCCTTACACAGTAAAATGCTAGACTAACCATTTACTGTATATGACACTAAGGAAAGCAGTCTGATTATAAACCAGTATAAAAAGAAAAACAGACAAGTGTACAAAGAGACAGTGTAGAAAGAGACAAGAGCATACTAATTGAAAAATGGTGATCTTTTACCATTTTAATGGTGTAACTCATAGTATATTACCAAAATAAATGAATGTAGATGTAGCATAGAAAATGCTCAAGGTATTGCTCCAGTTTATAAGAATGAAAGTCCTAGTAATTGAAAACATAGTGATTAGGTTACAGTACTTGCTAAATACAAGGCCACTTCATAATGCTATTTCAATTATATATCCCAAACCTGTGAGCTCTGTGAATTAGGAAAGAACCTAAATTTTGATCTCCTTTTCCAGAGATGATAAATGATGTTCAAATACAGTGCTGAGTATCTAAAATATTTTTTTTTAACTCAAAGATTGGGCTATACAAATATCTTTTAACAATCCGTTATATTTTCCTTTTAAAAAGCAAATGCCCATTCATTTAGGAAGTAGCTCATGAGTTTTTATCTTTAAAATTTTACTAACGGACAGTGTTGGTAAGACCAAAAAAATACAGCAACAGTTTTTCATTTCTTAATACCACAGATAAGTAAAAAAACTTTAAGTACCATCTTCAATATTCTACACTCAAGTTGTTACACAATCAAAAATTTGGTTTAAGTTTTGAGAGGCCTGGCTCTGCAAAAGACAAACTAAGATAAAGCTAATAAATATTTTAAAAAATAAAACAAAATCAGAGTTTTGCAGTCATATGGCTCCTTCCACTCAAAACTTCTTGTGAGCTACTATGTCCCTGGGTTGACCACACTTCTTATTTTATTTTATTCATTTATTTATTTAATTTTTTTTTGGGTATGTTTAAGGAAGGGTCTACAGGGTGTTTAGGGTCTCATTACTAGATTGGACTGGTAGTGATCCTCCTGTTTACAGCCTCCCAACTGTTGGGATTACAGGCGCGTGTCACCAGGCCCAGTCTCACACTTCTTAAAATGACAGCACTGAACGCCAGATTAAGCCTTAACAATCTGCTTTGCCAGATAAGATGAAGTCTAGGAAAAAGAGAATCAACATTATATAGTCAAGGAAGCAAAAATAACACTACTTATCTAAACAAAAGGAACTGCATACAAATAGAAAAGCTTAAAAAAGATGAAGATCACTTAACTCTGAATGTTAACATTAATGGATATAATATCAAAGAGAAAATATTAAAATATAGCATCAACAAAACAGATCAGTAGACAGGGACAAAAACCAGAGAAGCTAATTATGTTAAGACTTTGTTTTGTTTAGAAAAAAAATACACATACACATAGGTCCTTGAAAAAAACAAAAAAACACATGCCTAACTATAGGTAATCCACAAAAATGAGACCCAGGATAACTTTCCTGGAACTATTAAAAATACATACATACATACATATGTATAATGGCTGCTGACCACAAACTGTGTAGATTCAAGAAGAAAAAAGAAAACAGTCATTGATTCAGAAAATATTAGGTTCTAAGAGAGTAACCAAATAAAAACTAAATTACAATTGCCCTGCCATATTAAAATGTTCAATGGGCTAATGGAATTCTAGAACACAGAATGATATTAGATAATCTCTGTAGGAATGAACTTTTTTAAACTTTAGAATAGTTCTTTGTCTAAGTGTGATGGTATATACCAATAATCTTAGCACTTGAGTCTGAGGCAAGGGGATGTACCACAAGTCTGAGGCCAGCCTGGGTTACATAGAGAGTTCAAGGCCAACTTCAACTACAGTACATAGCAAGACCCTGTCTCAAAAACAAAATCAAAAATAAAAAATCCAAAACCCTAAAAACAACACTTCTTTGAAGCTCTTCAGAAAATCAAAAACAATGCCCTGAAATGAAGAACATCATATCTAAATATTGCAAAAGTAACACTGCAGTAAATTCAAAATATAGAAGCAAAACAATGTGGTAAGAGTATACAATTGTCAAAAGCAAAACAGAAATGTGAAAATTAGGGAAGTAATCCTTGTTACATAGGTTACTTAGCTACAACCACATAAAACTGAGGGAAAAAATACCAAATTGAACACATTACTAAATGAAATCTTAGCGCCAATCTTAAGTCAAATGTCACACCAGAATGTTTGTAATATTTTAAATTAGCTGAACACCAAATAATTCAAAATAAATATTCCTTATTCTTTAATAATGTCCAAACGTACCACTCAATCAACATACTGAAAGAAAATAGTACAGTATGTTCATGCATGAAAGGAGGTTAAGATAACAAACAAGCACAAATTGCCTCTTTTGCTACCTACCTAGGATAAACTACGTCCTTACACCTTCATGCTCCCAACACATGATTATGTTTCGTTGTTCTTGCTGCCTGAAATGCTTTCTACTCTCAGCCAGTTTTATTTTACACAAACTATTTCAACAACTTTTATTATAAAAATTAAATATTAACAGGTCTGGCTTATAGGCATTATATTACCCTACTAGGACGTATTTCTTGTTTGTTTGTATTTTTAGGGAAGGGTCTACAAGGCATTTAGGGTCTCACTACTAGAGGACTCATAGTGATCCACCATTTTATAGCCTCCCAAGAGCTGGGATTACAGGTGCAAGCCACCAGACCCAGTTGCTGTCTCAGTGGCCTGCCCAGGGAGCAGGGCCAGCACAGCAGGCCAGAGGGATCGAGGACCTGCGCCTGCACCTGCTTGCAGGTGCTTTAATAGCTAGCCCTCTAGTAGGTATTTTAAATAACAAATGCTCAAGTTCTTTTCTTTCTTTTGCCAATTTCTAGCCTTAAGGAAAGTATATTAAGGTAGAAGATTCAGAAATATAGAATCTTCATGCTGAGGCAACCCCAAAGGGGACAGAACTTAAACACAGTGCAACTTACTGTACCATCATCAATGCTGCCAATGGTTGGTTTATTTGATTTACCTCCCTGGAAGGTAAAATTACTGAAAGCCAGAACTGGTTCAAGTAAGCAATGAACTAGAACACTTAAATACACTAACAGCTAGAAAGCATTACCTATCTGCTCTACTCCCTCACAATACCAAACATGTAGGTGTGCAGCAATCATGTTGCTCAGGGACATGCCATAGAGCAGGAAAGCAGATGAGACATGGCTAAGATCTATTAGATCAGCCCATCACTTACATATACAGTATTGTTTACTTTAGCTCACAGATATGTCCAACCTATATATGGCTTTGCTGTTTTATTTCTTACTTTGATGGTAAACAATCTTTATTTCAAGCTTAACAGATCTGAAAGGAGGCTGACATTAAGGCTTAGTATTCACTATAAAATGACTATAAGTGGAAGGGAGTCACAAATTCCCTAGCTCAGCAGCCTCCACATTAGCTCCAATGACTATCCCTAGTCCTCAGTAAAACACAACTATGATATGCCACAAATACTTATTAAATAAGGATACTAATAACATTTTATTAGCTAACAGAAGACTCTCATACAGTCACTGAAATCAGAACCATTTTCTACATAAATTCTAAATGAGAATTTTCAATATTGAAAATTGACGCTGATTTCTAAATTCACAAAATACAATTAGTGAAACAGTTGATAAATTTCTTTCCCTCACAAAATAATTAAAGAAAATCTCCCTTATAAGTTTGAGCCTGGCTAACTACAGCTATTCTTGAGCTCACTTCAGCAGCACATATACTAATTGTAGCTCTTCTTGTCTACATTATAGTTCTGCTTATGTTAAGTAAATTATGATCTTTATAATTCATATACTTCTAAGGATTTGCCAATTAGCACTGTTTCTAAGATGAAGATAAAGATAACACAGTAAAACACAACTCACTGAGGTATTTTCACTGATATTTCAGCACTACTTTACTGTCAGACAGGAGATAAGTGATTAGTACTAAATGATTAGCTGCCAAGAGAAACCTGATTTACAGCTTGCTAAAATCACTAGCAAGCTGCAGAGGCTGCTGCATGTCACCTTTAGATGTCAACAGCATCAGCTTCATGAATCCTGACTAGACCACAGCTGTTTCAGAGTAGCATTTTTGGCTCTGGTTTATACAGTCAAGAAAATGTTACTAATACCTTTTAAAAAAAATCACCAAAGTGAATATGGAAACTGTATTCTGGTACCACAACACCTCCTCTATAAGGAATCGTGAGTGTTAATTTACCTTTCCTTCCAAGTTCAGCTGCTGCATTTCTTGGTCACTATTTCCTATTCCAATAAATGCACATGGTTGAGACTCTTGCTCAGAAGAACCATCGCGTTCCATTTGTTCTTTTTTTTTCTTCCATCCACTGCCCATAAGATATACACAAGGCGGAGGGCAAAAAAACCTGAAGAATAATGTGGAAAAAGACCCACCCCCAAAACACAAAGTAATTAGATTCAAGACAGTTTCTTTTCTTTCCCATATGAAAATAAAATCATGCAGAAATGCAATGAATTGGCTAATAAAAAGCTGTGAAGCCTTCTATAACGAAAATAATCATACGCACAGGACAGAAATCAACTTCCACACCTCTTTAGGTAGAATACTGTAGGCATGCCTTCAGTTAGAGCATCTATATTTGGAACAGAGAACTATCTCCTTAAATTCTCACATAACTGAAAGGTCTGCACTACTTCACAAGTGCAATACACAAAACATGGCACACCACCACAGACTGTGATTACTAATTAAGATCTACTCAAAATAAGTTACTAATTAATGTTCTTATTCCTACAGGTTTAACTTTACTTGGTAATTAACCTGGAAAAAATCATTAGCAGAATCCTTCAAAATGGCTCACTGGAGTATGAGCTCTACAAGGGCATGCTATATTTTGTGTACCTTTCCTCAACACATGGTGCACCGCACTTGATCTTAGCCAAAGGCCAAGAAGTGACCAACACATGGCACACTATAAATAACAGAATTATTTTGCCAAAAGAACAATCAGTACATTCTCTCAACTCAGACTACTAATGGGTCTGTTTAACTGCCAAAAAACACCTTCACAAATCCTTCCCACCTAGAATGACTTTCTTATAATCTTCTGTCTAGTAATTAAAAATAAGATTTTAAAGCCTACCTCAAGCTCCATATTTTTCATAGTTCAGACCATAAATCCACTCCCTATGTAGGGTGTAATTCTCTTTTGCTCAATTATGCCTAATGTTTATGTCCTGTCTCTCCATGGGGCCCAACATCAAATTCCTACAGTAATCAGATAAATGTTATAAATGAATGACCCGGGTGTACAAAAAAGCAGCAGAAATACCCTTTAACTACCCAAAGATACAGGTTTCTTCCACTCTTTGTTGAAACAAACAGCACTCATGATAATTCCTACTTTTCATACAATTGTGAGAAAGGAAAAATGCTTCTTCTGTTAATCCTACCATAAGAAAACCAAGAGCTTAAGCGCAATGATAATGAGCTCCTGGTGCATGGCTCTAAGTATAAGGAAATACAGGTAGTGGTTTGATGTGCAAATACACTCCCACTCACAGTGGTGAACCATGAATACATGGCCTAATAGTGGTCACGACAATAACAAAATGTCAAATGAGTAAAACAATGTGTATACTTTATTAGCTGACAAGAACTGAGAGGAAATAAACAATAAAGCAGGCACAGACTTCTTGAAATGTGAACTGCCTGAGAATAGCTAGGGACAGCATGCTAAAGAGGTGAGTTTAAGCCACAATCTAAACTACATGGATACTCAGAGTCAGACTGTTTTGACAAAGGATAGAGCAAGTGCGAAGGCTCTGAGGTAGGAGCTATTCCCCAAAGTAGAGAAATGCCCTACAGTGGAGGTAGAGAAGAGACAGAAGGAAATAAACAGGAGATGGAATTGGAAATAACAGGCAAATACACCAGTGGGCGCCACAGATCAAAAAGAGCAAGGAGGGAAGCCTTTGTGGTTTTCTCCTATTTACCTAACCAGACAGGGAAGAAGAGCAGCTTTCATGCCTGCATGCTCCCTGCAGGGCCATGGATACAAAGGTCACAGCCAAGGTGGTGGGCGCAGGCCCAGTTCACTCAGGCTTGGCGGGATGCCCAGCTAGCTGGGTTACTTTTGGAGCAGGTTCAGATTATCTACATCATGGATCTTTCTAGGTTCTAATGCTGACAGCCACTCAAAGCCTACCCTGGCCCAGGTTCACACACCTAGACTGGCACATTCTCAGGAGGCTAGGAAGGCACCAATGCTGGAAACCTGTGTACTGTTAGTATTTTCTTGAACAATGATGTTAAGACTTCTTAGTAAATTGGCATACTAGCTGTAAATTCAAAAAGTTGTACTCAGCACTGTACAGTATACCAAATATAGTAGTCAAATGTGTGAGCTATCTCAAAATATAATTTTATTTCCTATCTGAAAACATAAAGAGAGCTGAAACAACAAAAGAATTAGTGCTGTTTCTCAAGTGCTGTGCCAAAATTCATGAAACAGTATAAAATTAAGACAAAGAGTTTAAAAAATTCTTTATTCAAAACATTGATCAAGGTTCAGTCTTGAAAAGGCTTTTCAGTTATGTGATAATTTAACAAAAAGACTTTTCAACAGCCTATAAGCTACCTTGTTTAATATCCCACAATTACTCAAAGAAAGCTGTGATACATGAAAACAGTAAATTCAACAGAATTTATAGATTGAGATCATTTCTCTAAGGTGTTGGTGAAATCCTGTCTTACATACCCCAATATTACTGTTCCCTACAAAGCAGTGAATTAATCAAATTTTCATTTCCATAGATTTCCATAGTACTGGTCATTATAAAAAAAGATAAGCATATATACAAAAAGGGAATCAGCCAAAGAAAATAAAAAGGAAAAGGATTAAAAATAAAAAGTCACATAATTAAGGAAGAAAAATTAAAATGTATCTCTAGGGCCAACAAGAGAGTTCAATGGACTAAGTACCTGCTTAAGTAAGTGCAGGGACCTGGGTTGGATCCCCCACACCATATGCTGTGCCAGCCCCACCCCTGGCGTACTTGAGCCAGCCACAGAGACCAGGTGTGGTGGTGCACGCCTGTAATCCCAGCGCTGGGGAGGCTGCAAACAGGAGGATCACTACAAGTCCAAGCTGTGTAGTAAGACCCTATATCAAATACATAAGATGTATCTCTACAAAGGTATGTGAAATTCATGTTTCAAAATGTAGTTGGTCAATACTTACTATACAAACATTTGATTAGTAAGGGGCTTTTTACAGTTCAATTGCTGCTATAAAAAGAATCATTCCTAAAAAATTGTTTCCCTTAGTTTTCCGTGTCTCCCCACAGCTTCAAGCATTCTGCCACTTGAGGGCGATATGCACACATTTAATATTTTACTCATTTCACAACTCAAATCAGTATTTTCAGAGTAGGATTCAACAACTTTTTTCTCAAATACTGACAAGAGATCTGGAAAACAGATTCAAAGAAGAAACCACTATATAAAATATTTAGATAAAGAAATCCAAACTCATGTTACTTACATTATTGGAGTATCTTTGCCAAATCATTACTGATGATTATTCAGTTCAAAAGGACCATATTTAGGTACTTTTTCACCAGTTATTCCAATTAATACAACTCTTAACATGACTTCAGAATCACAGTCTATATCTAAATAGCTTCACTAATGTCCTCAACAGCATAATTATTGCTTAATTATTTACCTTGAGTCAAAGAGGAATGTTAATGTCAATGGCACATTTATACTTCCTCTACACAAAACAATCTTTTAAAAAGTTCATTTTTTAAGCTGGGAAGAACTTCTTTAATGAAAAATTGAAACCACTAAAATAAATGGGAAAACAAATGTGCCATGCAAGTAGGTTGTTATTAGGCACAAAAGTGGATATCAAAAATAATTAGAATTTTCAAATGAGTATTTTTAACATAATGCACTGGAGTTATTTTAGATGCCACAGGGCCCTGGCCAAAAGAACTGTGGTCATGTCCCTGAGTAGCCTCGAGCCTTAAACCTCTCTTCACAGAGACCTACACCTGATGGGTCAGAGCCTTCTTAGTCACTGTGCATTCCTCAGCAAGTCACTGACAGCCCTGGTTGGCCGCCTCAGCATAGACTGCCGGTCACCAGAGGCTTGGCCTAGAATCTGCAGCCCTTTACTATAGACACTTAATTCATTGGGGTTTCCCCTTTTGTCACAAACCAACGCATGCTTACTCTGAAATTTTTAACAATCTAAATGAATATAAATACTGGAAAGGAGTTATTTTGGCCTTCTGTCATTTTTTCTTCATATTTTAGAGGCTAAACATACAAATTCTCAAATATCAGGATGGGGTTGTAGACTGGCTAGGCCACACCACATAACAGAAAGAAGCTGAAAATAAAGGGTTACTGCAATAAGAAGCTATAGTGGCTAACGTGATCAGCCACATCACGTATTCGTTTGTATTTAGCAGTGATTAACAAACAGGAACCTCAACTGTGCTTTAGCATTTTCCCAAACAGATCCTTTTTTTAAACTTCACTGAACTTCAGTAACCCACCTTACTATTAAATGGCAGAGTGAACTCTAAAAGTTCCTTTTGTATAGCACCTGGCACTAGCAGGTGATCAGAATTAAATTAATAAATAAATCCAAGTGTAGAAAAATGAATCTTTAAAACTCCAGAAAAAGAACAGAAAGCCTAGTCACATCTGGAGCCACATGATAAGCATACCTTTCTTTATAATTCAATGCGATCCAAGAAAATCTCACACAGCCGAAGGTGAATGAGATGATCCTAAGTCAAGTTTACAAAGTCTGTTTTGAAAGTGTCTTTATTCCTCAAGCCTTACAAAGGTAATCAATGACAGGCACTAACATCTAAAGTTATATGGACAGAGAATCCACGTGATATACCTCAAGAATTTAATCAAACAAGTCAGCAAACTGATATGGATTTGTAAACTTTAAAAATAGAAAATACAATAAGAAATTTGGAATTAGTCTCAGGAATACCAATCCTTGCCTCAATGATTTCAATGAGAGCACATTTAAAGTCTCTAGATTATTTTGAGGGCTAAAGATTTTAAATATTGGTAAAACATTTCCCTGGCTTATAAGTAGAGCTGATATAGAAAATTATTAATTTTAGATTCAATATGAAGGCAACAGCTGCTCTGCTAGATCTGTCTTTAAGGATAAAGGTATTCACTTTTGTTTTGCTTAGAAAGTAAATAGCCTGCTATGTATATATGCTAATTTCATTATTTAAAAAAATACTTATTTTTCAATATCAACTTTGTGAAAAAAGGAGAGCTTCCTTAATTTGGTTTTCTATGTCCCAAATCTCTTCCTATATTTAACTTTTAACCAGTGAATTAAACTTTGTTAATAAAGTAAAGCAATAAAAATTTTTATAAACTTGAATTACAATAGATTAAAAAATGTTTGGAAAGAACAATGACTTTTAAATATTTTTGCAATGACTTTTGTATCTGTTCATCCTTTTTGAGGACAAAATTATCTATTAAACAGTATCACCTTTTCAGCTCAGAGATGACTTCAAGAAAAACTTCTGAATTTTCTTCTAGCATGTAAATTAATTCAATTATATGCTTAGTGTCTCCATTCTTATACATATGCTGAAAGTTTTCTTCCCTATAAGATTCCAACCCCCAAACCTGCTTCTACTTTAGGCTGGTGTCTTTTTAACCAATTCCAAAAAATGCTGTGAACTTTCTATACATACTGGCTACGAAATCCTTAATTAACCAGAACTTGCCTACCCAGTTGGGCATGGTGGGCACACACCTGTAGCATGGTGGGCACACATTCTAGCACTCTGGCAGGCTGAGGCAAGAGGATCACACATGGGAGCCCAGCCTGGGCAGCTCAGTGAGATGGTACCTCAAAATAAAAAATGAAAAGGGCTGGGAATATAGTTTAGTGTAAAGGTCTTGAGTTCAATCCTCAGTACTGAGGGGAAAAAAAAAGACCTTCAGAAACACTCAAGAAAATTCCAGGAACCAAGTGAAAAAATGGGGTATATCTCAGTTGTAGATATGTGATTACTAAGACAGGAGCCCTGGGTCACTCATCAGTATCCTCCTAACAAAAAAACCAGTAACAAAACAAAGCAACCAACTGCACCATAAATACTTATTATTTTAGGAGCAGGGATATAGCTCAGTAGTAGAGCACTTACCCCGCATGCACAAGGCCCTGTTCTAGGTTTGATGCTCAGTGCCACTGCAAAAACAGAACAATCCAGCAAAAGCCCCCTACCCCACACATCTGAAATTTGTAAGATACCATGAGAAATAATGTAAGGATCACAGCTGTAAATTAATTTTGGCCAATAACGTTTGTAGATAAAGGGCTCCTTCCTGTGGTGCCCAGGTAGGCCCAGAACTCTTCAGGCCTCAAGGGATCCACAGGAAGAATCCCCTTCCTATTCAGGGGCCTGCTGAAAAGGAAACCAGCAGAGGGGTTGCAGTTTCCTAACAAGCAGAACAGACTCAGAGTTTAGAGGCAGCTGGGGGGAGAGGACAAGGAGCTCTTCCCCTTACAGTAGCTTCAGACCTCAATTCTTTCTTTTTAAAAAAATCTTTTAAGGGCGGCCAGATAGCTCAGCAGACTAAAGTCCCTGCTTAGGCAGAGCGCGGAGCCCAGGGTTCGATTCCGGAGTGCCATGTTGGTCCCACACCCCAGGGAACTCTGAGACTGCGACTGAGATTGGGCGTGGTGGCAATCGCCTGAAATCCCAGCCCTGAACTTGGGAGGCTGAAACAGGAGGATCACTACGAGTCCTATTTATGTAGTGAGACCCTGTAGACCCTGTCCTAAATACGTTAAAAAACAAACAAACAAACAAAAAAACCATCTTTTATTTATTTGGTACAGGATCTCGCTACATAGCTAGGACTCCTAGTGATCCTCCTGTCTCAGCCTCCCTAGCTCTGGGATTACAGGTGTGTGCCACCACACCTAGTTTCAGTGGTGGGCATGAATATTAATGCATTATTTGCAAATTCATGTGATAACTATAATTAACTCTCCACTATAACAAAACCAGTGCTCTTACCTTTTTTCATTTCCATATGACTTCTGTGCAACTTTTGCATGAAGAATAAGTACTGTTTGATCACCTCGTTCTTTTAAATAATTTCGCATAGCTTCCCTAAAATCAAATATAAATATTACATTATAGGGGTGAAATTTATGAAACCTTTTTATACTCTGTTACATAAGGAATGGTTACAGATATTTTTAAACACACAAACTGGGAAGATAAAAACAATAAAGGAAAATAAACGTGAATTAGGTTTAAAGCACAGTATAAAATGGATCATAAATATTCATCTTCAACTCTGTTTTGCTCTTTAAAATAAAAATTTTATTCTTTAGAACCTATCATGTCACTCAAGCCACAATTACACTTTTAAAATAACTTTAACACTTACATTACTAAAGTGGCTTTAGTATTTTTTGTAACTTAATCTTGTTACTTCCCCTCCACCAGCTATTTGAATCAGTATTTTTCACTGACTACAAAAGCCAGAGTAGAACAGAAATCATTCCAATTTGTTAATAAATGACCCTAAAATGACACATCTACATATAACTAAGAAAGGTCTATCATTTATATATAAACATAGCTATCTGAAAGACTTTTTTTTTTTTTTTTTTT